AATGAGATAAAAATTGCAGTAGGGCTTTTTTTGCCACACTAAACGTACATTTCTTTTTCACTTAATATGCTTAAACTTTTTTATTTGCTAGTGTTTTGGAGACAACATAATGTTAGTTAAAATTGATATTGATTATGAAACTGCCCTCATTTTCTAGTTTGTCTCCCTTTGAGGATCTCAGATATCCTTGACACCTTAGTTATCCATTAGGTCTTACAAGTCGTTTGAGTGCATGATATACAAGGTTAAGCACATTTTCGGTAGCTGATGTGTTGCTCTAGGTGGGCAGGCATAAAAGCAAAGGTTCAGTAGAGGGTGTTAGAATTCCCTATTGATAAAGCTAAATTAAGCCTTGATTCTAGGCCTAAAACATGTGACTTGTGTGCTATGTTCCACAATTGCTGCTTAGTGCTTAGGAAGATCAAACCTAAGGTCCTAGACACCATATCAAAACATTCATAACATAGTGTAGAAACAAAAGTGAAACCATAGGCAATCAGATTGTAGGCTTCTTTGAAAGAAGTACGTCAGATAGGATTTAGGACTTATTTTATTGCTCCCTTTTGATAGAAATACGTATTTTAAAAGTAATTTCCTTAAACATAAGAAAATAGTATGTTCTTACTAAAACTAACGCAGACACAGAGGTCTCATACCTCTCTTAGGTTGATTCTTAGGTTGTTCAATTTAGAATGGGGGGAACCCTAAGCTACCATGGGAAACCTTATTATATGTGTTTTCAATGCAAATATGAAGAGTTCTCAGATCAAAGCCTCCCCGAATTTATACTTTAAACTGTTAAAATTAAAATCAGTAAAAAATGGTGGGTCTGTCAAATTATGGTTTAGAGAAAGATCTTGACCTCGAAAGAACTGTTTGCTTTGAGAGCCACCGGTAGAACAGTCTTGGAATCACCCAAAATTCATAACAAGAAACGGCCTTATAAAAATAGGAAAGAAAATGAAAGACGAGGAAATAAATTGAGATTTAAAGAAAATAAAGAACTACTTGAAATCTGTTCCTCTAACCTTTGGCACCTGGAGTTGGTGGCTCGGATTAGACTGTCAGTTCAAGTGTCTTTGTCTTCGACCCCAGAACATTGCATAAATTTGAAAAGTACCTAGGTCATTATTCATCTTAGGGTTTATGGATTGAGGTATGAAATTAGAATCTGATAATTGTAGAGAATTGATAGGGTTTCTCCTAGTGTTTTCTTCTTTTTCCGAGATCTAAGATTTATGCTTGAGTTTTTATGGTTTAGGCCAGCCTAGGGTTTAAGGATCTAGAAGCTATGGGGTTTAGGTCTTTAAATTTCGCTAGTGTTTCTAAGATTGCCTGGGTTGAATCAACGAACCCCGAAATTGGTTTTTTTATAAACCTAATTACACGTCCAAACACATTTATGGAACCATTCGAAGTCTTTGTTTTGTTCATATCATAGTTACCGGGAGCACCCTATAGGGGTCCGCTTCCGCCCAGGAATCTCGATCTCACGCTTCGAGTAAGCGGATCTCAATTACAAACGCTTCCTTGCATATTTGGATCTCGTACCTGGAGTTATAGGAACTAGATTTCTATTATTCGGAAATGAGTTCCCTAGCAAGTGGGATCCAAATTCGCATGCCCATGATCATGGCTCCAAATATCAACCTGATGGCATTGTAGAAAGATTAAAAGCCAGATTGGTAGCGAAGGGATACATAAAAACATTTGTCTTTGACAACTCTGAAGCATTTTCCCCTGTTGCTTAACTTAATTCAATTTGAGTGGCTATATTTGTGGCTGTCAACAAGGAATGACTGCTATGGCAGCTTGATGTCAAGAATGTTTTCCTCCATGGTGATTTACAAGAAGAGGTGCACCTGGAGTAACCACCTAGGTTTGTTGCTTTGGGGGGGGGTGTCGAATAAAGTGCGTGAGTTGAAGAAAGCCATTTATGACTATAACCAACCCCCACTTGCATGATTTGAAAAATTAAGTGAAATTGCTATAACATAAGGATTTCAGCACAGTCATGCATATCATTTAGTGTTTATTTGGAAACAAGACTCTAGAAAAATTATTTTAGTTGTCTATGTTGATGATATTGTTGTTATTGGCATTGGTCAAGGAGGAATCAGTCATTTGAAGAGACATATAAAACAGTATGTTCAGACAAAGGATTTAGGCCAGTTGCGGTATTTTTTAGGAATTGAAGTAGCCAAATCAAAGCATGGCATTAATTTGTCTCAAAGAAAATAAGACTGATTTGTTTACATAAATTAGAATTTTGGGTGCTAGACCTGTGGATGTGCTTATGGTTTCAAATACAAAATTATTGGCTGATCAAGGGGATTTGTTTGAGGATTCATGAAGATACAGAAGATTGGTAGGCAAAATGATTTATCTGACCACCACCCGGCCTGATATTGCTTTTGCAGTAAGGGTTGTGAGTCGGTTTATGCATGCTCAAAGGATTCCTCACTAGGATGTTATTTGTAGGATTTTAAGGCATTTGAATGGTGCCTTAGGTCGAGTTTGATTTACCAGCCAAATAATCATTTAGCCATTGAAAGTTACTCAGATGCTGATTGGGTAGGTTTACCATGTTACAGGCAATCTATCACAAGTTAATGTATATTTATTTGTGGGAACTTTGTAACATGGAGAAGCAAGAAACACAATGGTGTGGTCAGATCTAGTGCATAGGCTGAATGTAGAGTGACAACACATACTAATGAGAATTGATGTGTTTGAAAACACGGATGCAGGAGATGGGGTATACTGATGTTGATCATAGGAAGATGTGTCGCGACAAAGCTGCGACATATATAGCCAGTAATCTAGTATTCTAACAAAGGGCCAAGTATATTGAACTAGGTTGTCATTTTATCTGAGAGAAAGTTGCTAGTAAACAAATGTCTACTCTATATGTGAAATCTAAGGATCAGCTAGCATACATCTTCTCTAAAGGCCTTGGTCGTAATAGACTCCAAATTATTTGTTGCAAGTTGGTTATGGGCAGCATTTATTCTCCAGCTTGATGGCAATGTTAAAAGTTCATTTGTATTTAAGTTCTAAACCTATGTGTCCCTTGGTATTTCTATTGACATATTTGTTGTTTCATAATTTTTTAATAATATACATTAGTTTGAGAGGTCTATGAGGTGCCTGTGGACCTCACGACACTCTTCTCTCTCTTATGTCTCTCATATCTGTCTATCTTCTCTCTTCCATCTCTCATATCTCTCTCTCTCTCTCTCTTCTTTTTCTTTCCCTTTTCTCCCTCTAGGTTATCTGACAAATCAAAATAACCCTAAAATACATGTCACCCTAAACCCTTACTGACTACCAAATAGTTTTGGAAACTAAATTTAAAAATAGACAAAAGATAAAAAAGGATTCCCAGTTGTCCCATTACTACATTTTGACATAGCTTTCAGGCTCTAGATTAGAACCATGAAATATATGTAGAAGAGAAGTTGTACAGCTTGACATAATCTTTGAAGAAAGCCCTAAAGTATCCTAATGGATGCATTTATACCCCTTTGAAGCTGACTACATGTCTACATCATCCATCATTGAGACTAATTTTCTCCTAGTTGCCCTGAAATTATTGAGAAAATTTTGGCATGTATTCAAGATCACCAAGCCAGCTTTAATGATACCTGAATTATTCACCAGGAAATGACCTCTAGTGTTAAATAATATGAACTTATGTTTTAAGGCATACTTAGATACTGATTGTGTAGGTTGTGCATGGTTAAAAATAAGAAAGTAGACTAACACAGTATGGTAAGAAACAATTTTGTAATGGTGAAAAGTAAAAACCTGAGTGTTTTTTGTGAGATGAGTATTGAAATAAGTTGTTGGGCCAATCTTATCACAGGTGCATTAGTGTGGCTCAAGCTATTGTCAAAGGCATCCAAATCCCACGTTGTTTATTCCACAAATATGCATTCTGTCAAACAATAAGCTAATCCACTTTATCACTTGAGAGGAGACGCGGTTGGTAGCCCTAAAAATGTTCCTTATAGGAAAAACAACCAACTAGATGCTTTTAGTCTGGCCACATGCCTGCATATATTCCTACATGATAATGATACTTGAGCGTGCATGAGACACATTCACCAACTTGAGGGGTTAATTGACTAAATTCAATGCTGTAATATACTTTTATTTTGCTGCTTTTCAACTTTTAACATATTCCCTTTTGGGGCTTGTCATTTACAGATATCGATCATTGTATGGTCAATTTTAATTGTAAGAAACACTGTACTGCATGTTTTGAACATCATCATTCGAGTCTTATCCATACTATTTGGGGTCGGCTACACGAATCCGGTTCTGCCATTCTGCTAGTTAGATTATAAATTACCATATCTCTTCTCACTACTTCCATCCATGTCCTTTTGGGCCTTCATTTTGGCCTTCTAGACCCTTCCATTTGAACCAAATCACCCTCCTAACCTTCGTTGTTCTAATTTGATGCTGCACTGGTTAGAATGAGAAAGCATGGTTGTGTTGGGTTGGCAACTACTCTAAAACTTTTGCCACATTTCTATATGGCTCCTAATCCAATGTGTTTTGAACATGTGTAGAAAATTATTTTAGATTTTCTGAATGCTTCTTCCCCCCTAGCGAGCAAGAGAGAGAGAGAGAGAGAAAGATAAATGATGTTATTGGATCCATGATGCTGTAATAAATACACTATGCTGATGGACATTAAATGAATGCTTAGTGCGGTTCTCATCACTGTATTAATTGTAAATACAATACTCTGCGTGTTTGTGCTTATTTTAAACAGATGCAGGCATTCATATTGTCTTATATCTGGCTGCAAAGCATGTAGACTCATGCATGCACAGGTTTTCTTTGATTATGTGCTGTTGCTTATTCCTTATTCGTTGGGGTATCCATGAGGTTATTCTTTTATTTCGTGTTATGAATCATTTCTGTCGTCAGCTGGTTGTCAAATTTATATCTTTTCTAAAGTTTGGTCTTCTTTTTTTACTCTTTAGACAGCAGCGTTGGCTCAAAAGAACTCGGAAGCCACTCGGGCTCTCGCAATGCAAGAAGACATTCTTGAAAAGGAGCTTGGAGAAATTCAGAAGGTCTTGCTGGCAATGCAGGTACCTTTTGCATACTTGTTTAGTTAGTGGAGTAGACCTTAAAGTGGCCTAAATATTTGTTGAGTGCTGGATTCTTCAGGTTGACCTAACATCTTACACGGGTTGTCATCTTCGTCAGCATGGCACACCACTGCCAGTATAATAAATACTAGTCCATCAAACAATTGGTAAAGAGTATATTGCCTGTCACAGTTGTACATGAGAGCCTGGATCTTGTGGAAGATGCTCTCCTAAGCTGCACTAATGCATTATATATGCCTTTGCATTTTATGCCAAATTACGTTGTCAAGACTTTTCATGTTATAGTCGTTTTTGTTCTATTTAGTAGGACTTCAGTCATATCAGTCCAATATGAAAATCTTTGTTGATGTTTCATTAACATATTGGTAAGAATTTGACCTTGCCATTAAATACATCCTCTTTTGAGTAAGCTCATTCGTCCTACTTAACCCTGCACCAATGATATATGAGCTGCTACCACCATAGCAACCCAACATTTTATTCTCCTTGATAATAAGTGAATAAGTGAACAAGGAAGTACAACTTTCTGGCATGACTCATAAATTCCACTTCCCTTAGAATGTGCTATTGGGGTTTGAGGCATTTAAAGGCTTTGAGAGCCTGTAAAACATATTATGATAGTGGATCTATACTCTAGCAGGAGTGTGGTCCGTATAGGACAAGTATGGCATTTTATGATTTGTTAGTTGACTCTCCTGGGTTGAGCTGTCCAGACCTAGAAGCAAGTCCAAAACTCTTACGCTTGGGCGTATGTCACAACTGTAGAGGGCTCTATTGTAGGGTCATCCCTCATTGAGCTCCGAGAGATGCCCATGGATGATGTTTACGAGTCATGAGGCTGGTGTCTCCTCGATGTTGTTGGAGGCTTGCAAGGGCAAGGGCCAAATCCTCAACAACCACCGCATGGCATCTACACATGATAAAGGCATTCTTGTATTTGGAAACACTTGTGATTCCGAGTCGATTTGGGAATCAAAATCACTGAATTGCAGGCAACGGTAAGGTTCATGTTGTTGGAATCACTTTTCGTACATGTCTATTTGCAGGAAACAGGATTCCAACTTTATCGTAATCGAGTTCCAAACCAAATAGAATTGAGATTTCTACCTCATTGGAATCAAGTTTCAACCCTATTGGAATCAAGATTCATACCATTTTTGAATTGAGTACAACCCATTTGGAATCGAGATTCTTACCTCTATGAGATCGAGCATCAACCCAATTGGCATCATGATTCATACATCTATAAGATCGAGCACCCAACAACTTTGAACCACAATAGATTCCAATAGGTGTATTTAATGGGGCAAGATTTTTTGTAAGATTTGGTATTGGAATTGATATATTGAGTATGCTTGACCCCCCGAAGTATTGAAATCGATATCCTCAAAGGTCCTAAAGACCTGAACAAGGGTTCCCCAGGTAATGAAATTGATGTACTGTGCCTTAATCATAATATTGGAATCAAGGTCTAGTGGCTTTAATTCTATATTTGAGGTTTTGGATTAAATAAACAAAGAAGAAATACTTGATTTTGTTAAGAATGAAATTAAAAAAATCAAAATAAAGATGCTTATTTATGGGTTAAGTACACTTAATAGACACACATATAGTCTATTAGGGAAATCGTGACGGTGTTTGCAAAACATGCATGCACACTTGATGAATTCAGTCAATAAGGAACGCAGACCACTATTGGTTTTTAATGGTCATTTGCAGCCAAAAAGATGAATACACCTTGAGATCAATGCCTACGCAGTGTTCTCATGTTCTCCAGCTAGCCCATTACCCAAAGAATCTCCTCCCTCAATAATATAGATCCATTTCTGGACAAAATAAAATGAGCGAGGCATGCGATGAAGAAAGGAGGTTATATTATTGAGGGAGAAAATTCTTTCGGTAATGGGCCAGCTGGACAACATGAGAGAAGCGCATAGGCACTGTGCTGCGCTTTATATTCGGAGTAGAGCTGCAATGTTAATGGCAGTTGCCCTGCCCCTCTTGGGGCTTTGCTTACGGCTCCATTGGGTGGGCTGGGACCGTCCAATCTTGGTGCCATGGAAGAGGATAGTGTTGCGCCTTAGTGGCTTTGGCCACTTGTTTGCTTTAGTGGGCGCATTTTGGTATATGGATTTATATGCTTTTAGGATCAAGGTTGTGCCTTCTTGGGTATTGGACACGTTTTTTTTTTGGTGGATGCGTATCATTTTGCTTTGGATGGATATATAATTTGTGTTTGAGTACTATGGCCCACTGGGCACATATGCCCTCAAGACTGGGATGTCGTGTTGGGCTATTACATCTTTTTTGGTTATACTTTATGTATATATGTGGCGCCCACTTTTTTGAATGTATGCCTATGCTCCTCTTTCTTGTTGCTTTTATTGTGCATGAATGGATACAATGAAAATGGTTTTTTTTTAAATTTTCATATTTATAAACTTCCTATGTTAAAAATCGCACTTTTTTGTATGTATGCCTATGTTCCCCCTTTGTCATTGCTTTTATAGAAGATCTTTGCAAATTCAACGGATTGAATACCGAACCTCTTCTTAAGTGAAGAAGTCAAAGGGAATGGAGTGTATGTTGTTCCACTGCAAGCCAACAGAAAGAATGAAGCAGAAAAAAGACTATATTTTCTTTTTTGTTGTCCTCTTCGCTTGCCGAAATCTATATATGTAAGCAGTTACAGAGTCCAACCGGTCGGAGACGTTGAGGTCATGAATGGAGACAGTGAAATTGCTTTTTAAAAATCTTCACATTGTCAAAACTTCCTATATGTTTTTTAAAAATCGTCACATTTTCTAAACTTCCTATTGTCATAGGGTTTTTAACAAAACAGCTTCGTATAAAAGAGAGGGAGTTGTTTTCCTCTTTTAGTTGAGGATATGTTAAAGGGAAAGGTGGTGGTAATGTGGAACCATTTGAGCTTTGGTTTTTAGAATATTTTAGCTTGAATGAATTGGTAGGTATTTTGAAAACGACATGTTTGTCTATGCATCTATGCTCTCTAACAAAACAGCTCCGTATAAATAAGAGAATTGCTTTACTCATTTGGTTGATGAAATGTTAAAGGGAAAGGTGTTGGTGATCTGGAATCATCTGAGCTTGGTTTTTAGAATAGGCAGCTATTTTGAAAACGACATGTTTGTCTATACACCTGTAATCTCTTAGCCCCTTTCACATCTCTCTTACTACCTCCACTAACCAAGTCTCTTCACCAATAAGAATAAAATCCAATGATCTCCCATCCTCCTCCCAATCTAACAGCCAAGGCCCCTAGTGTGCATCATCTGAAATGGCTATGCAAGGCCCAAACTCCATGACCACGTACTTAAACCCCTTAAATTTGTGTCCAAAACTTTCAACATCAAACCACTCTCCATCAGAACCTAAACCACAGCCAGAATAAATAAATAAGCCAATAAACAAAATCCCAACTGGATCAACCCATGGTGACTTTTTTGACTGGTAAGAAACCAGCAAGCCTTGGTTTAAGGAAAACGGAAATGGGGATTGTTTTTTGTTTCTTGTTCTTAACCCGATGAGAGACAAGAAAAGATATTAGAAAGTGAGCAAAAGATAAATATTACAGAATTAATTTAGATTTTTTTTGGCATTACAATCTTCAAGGACATTACAAATGTGACGAAACATTAGGGGATTGATAGATTTGATTAGAGAATTAGGGACTTTTTGGTAAACGGAGCGGAAACTAATTATTAGAAAGTTCATTTAGACTTTTTGGTAGAAACCGAGAGAAATAGAATAGGGTGGGCAAAATAAAATGTGACAAAAATTAGGTAACTTTAGCCTAGTAGGCCCAAAAATGACTACAATGTTGACTGGATTGTTGAAAAGTCCATCTTCTTGACGATTTGCTTTAACGAATAGAAAAGTTCTTCATCTCATTGAAAAGTTCATCTTTTTGAAAAGCACTTTTGTATTTGAAGAGATCATCAGTTAAAATAAATTTAGTAACCAAGCAAATACAGTTGATGATCAATGGAGAGGGTGCAGAGATGGAGGGCATGGGAAGGAGGAGTGAGGGACAGAGAGGGGAACACCTTGATATTTTTAGTAACGAAGCTTCTAAGATACCTCCGTTCCCTTTCCAATCGTTATCCCAAACAACCACCTAGGTTTTACTTGGTCGACAAGTTGGAAAAGAGGGAGGAAGAACTAGAGTGTGGGTCCTTGGCCGTGGGGCCTAATGCGTCAACATAATTTCTGTGCTCAAAATAATTCTTAAAACCCACTAAGCATTTAAAATGGCTTATAAATTTTTAATGCGCAAAATCGTATATATTTTTTTATTAAAAATTTATGATGCAAACAATATGTGATGCACTTTAAAAATTTACTTTTTTGATTAATAGATTTTCTAAAGCATAAATAAATATAACTAAAGGAGAATTTGATCTATTGTGTTAAGAGTATGCAAAATTAGTATGGCATGCCACATATGTTAGTTTTTATAGTCCATAGTTTGTGTCAAACCAACCCAACGAAACCCATGGCCTATAGTCTATCGCAGGGGCTCATGTTGGTCCATCAAAGCTTTAAGCTAGCCAATAAATTGAGGGAACATGGGCCTAATGTGTGGTTTACAAGTTTCCCCTAAAGAAAAGTTATATCTCACATGGACATGTACACACTATCGTAATGGTGCCCGGGGCCTCTCTTTAGTACGTTTACACGTTTTACCCCAACGGTTTGTGTGTCATAAATGCGGCTACCATATGTACATGTGTGCTGGTAATGTTGAAGATTTAAATCTTCTCTTATAAACCATCAACCACACATAGGAGACTAGCAACCTCCTGGCTAACCACCCCAACCTCATCAAGGCTAAAGGGTTTTGATCTCCATTCCTGGGCCTACGAAGCATGCTTCTCTTGTCTCCTATGGATCAAACTCCCACTGGAGTACAGTATCACTATAGTCATAGTTTTTACATACTCCAACATCCATTGCCT